GATTTTTTATTGGTTTAAATCAAACAAATTATCGCTTAACATTAAAAAAAGTAATTGGATTTTCTTTTTTTCTTTTTTTTGGTTTGGTTTCCATTTGTTAATCGTTGTACAGGTTTAATTAACCCATAATAAAAATAATAATATAAACTTACAATGATATAAAATATAACAAACATAAACAAGGTACCTGAAAGAAGATCACAAGGATCTTGTCGTCAGAACCTTAAAAAAGCATTTAACTAAGATAAGATAAGATAATCTTAACCTTTCTTCAGACACAGATTGTTTGCAAGGCAAACAATCTGTGTCTGAAGAAAGAATGAAAGAATCTAAAGAAAGAATGAGGTTTTTCAGTTTTTTTTTAAAAAGGCAAAAAGTAATAGGTATTTCAAAATTAAAATTCGCCAAAACAATTTTATTACAAAGGTGAGGTCTCGATAGGTAATACAAAATTGATTAAAGTTTGTTTGACAAAAAGGTTCATTTAAAAAGTTATTATTTCTCAAAATATATTTACTGACTGGTTTAAAAGAGAAAAGATCTATGAAGACGGTTAGGGATAAGTTATTTATCCACATATATACAAAATATAAAATATTAAATACATTTAACTCGTTAACATTCAGAATTCTCATTTCAATAAAACAATGCTTCAAATGAGAGAAGCGATTTGCAAAATTGATTATACGGATTGCGCGTTTCTGACGGAGATAAAGACGTTGCAACTTACTTTTTTCTGTACTTCCCCAAATAATATCAGCATAATTTAATTAACTATGTATAAATGAATAATAAAGTTAGATTAAGACTTCCTTATTGAGATAGATTCATGATTTATATAGGATGCCCATGTTTATAGAAATTTTTGTGCTTATATAATCAATTTGGTGATTCCATGTAATGTTTTCATCAAGATAAACACATAAAAATTTTGTAACAAAACCTCTTTTTATTTCCTTTTGATCAATAAAGATTAGAGGTAATTTTAATGGGAGAAATCGCTTTTTTGTAATTGAATGAAATAAAACCCATTTTGTTTTATTAGTATTCAATGTTAACTTATTACAATTAAACCAATTAGATATGTTTGAGTTCTTCGTTCACTGTTTTAAAAAGTTCATCGATACAATAGTTAGAAAGGAATAAATTTGTATCATCTGCATACATAATGCTTGTTAGTTTTGAAGCTTTATTAAAGTCATTTATATAAATTAAAAAAAGGAGAGGTCCAAGAATTGAACCTTGTGGGACTCCACAGGTTATATTAAGAAAAGTGGGTTGGTAATCATTGTTAAATGGTACAAATTGTTTTCGGTTAGATAGATAACTTTTAAACCATTTTAAAATTTTATTTTTTATTCCGTAAGTATTTGAGTTTATAAATTAAAATTTAGTGATCGACCGTATCAAAAGCTTTTGATAGGTCTATAAAAATTCCTAGTGTATATTGTGATTTTTCAAATGATTTTGAGATTTCGCGTACAAATTGAATAATTGCATGTTCAGTTGAGTTATTTTTCTTGAAACCAAATTGATTGATGTAAAGTAGATTATTATCATGAAAATATTTGTATATAATGTGGAGAGAATTATATATTTGTATATAATGTGGAGAGAACAGAGATAAGGTGATAATTACTGATTTCAAATTTGTCCCCTTCTTTAAAAATAGGAATAGTTTTTGCAATTTTTAATTGTTCTGGGAATACTCCTTGATGGATAGAAGCCCTAAAGATTAAAAAAAAAAACTTTAAGTTATTTAAAGCAATCTAAAACCACGCTTCCATTAATTTGATCTGCTCCAATTGCTTTATTTTTTTAAAGGCTCTTTCAAATTCATCAAACATTAATTCGGAAGATAACTCATCTGAACAAATGCAATTATTCAGGGGTTCTAGATAACCAGTAAACAAAGATTTGGTCTTAGGAATTTTTTCAGACAGTGTTGGTCCTATATAAGTGAAATATTTGTTAAATTCTTGAGCTATAGTTTTTGGTTCATATAAACTTTTGTTATCGACTCTAACCATTTGTGACAAAATTGGAGCTTGATTTTTTTTTGCCAATAAATTCTTTCATTATTTGCCACTTGCGTTTTGTGTCGTTTTTGAGTGTATTGAATAATTGGGAGTAGTAATTTTTCTTTAAGTTTTTGCGAATTTTTTCAAATAGGTTTTTGTAGTTCTTGTAGATTTTTTGCTAAAAGCTGTTATTGTTTTTAAAAATTATTGTACAACTTTTGTTTTATTCTGGATGATTTTTTAAAACCTTTAGTAATCCAGGGTGTATTGATATTCTTAGTTGTCATTGTTTTTTCTACTATTGGGAAATTAACTTCATAAACAGAAAAAAATGTTTTTTCTTATTTTTTTTTTATATTAATGTTTCTTTCTGGGTTTGTTTTATTAAGTTTTAAGAATAAAGGAAAATGATCCGATATATCAGTTTTTATGATACCTATTTGTATATTATTATTAAAAATATCAGTAGATATAATATTATATATAAGAGTTATTTAGCTATTTATCTATGAGAGTTGCTATATTATCTATAAGTGTTTAGTGTTACTCTAGTGGGTCGATTTATTAAAGTAACTGACCCTGTTTCAAAAATTGCATCATAAAAATTCTTAATTTTTTTGGTCGTCATTATAGAGAAAACAGTTCATATTTACGTCTCCGACTATATAGTTTTCTTTTTTAATAATTTGATGTAAGAGGATGCTCAGGTTTTCGCTCACTTGTCAGGTGGCCGATAACAACAGGTTAATAAAATGTTTTTAGTTTGATTGTTTGTAATTTCAATACTTACAATTTCTTTATCACAGTCAGAAACGCTCAAATCATTCCTAAAACAATACTCAAAATTTTCGTGAGCATAAATTAATATTTTAATTGATTTTTAAATAATATTTAATAATTAGCGCTTATTTGTTTTTCTCTCCTTATTTCATCTACTGTGATCCAAGTTTCTCTCACCTTCCAAAAACAAATTCATCTTCCACTTTTCAAAAAAAAAATTATTTTTCAAATCATCATTCCAAAAAAAAAATTCAGCAAAAAAAAATTAATCTTCCACCTTCCAAAAAAAAATTCATCCACCTTCCAAAAAAAAAAGTTTAGTTCCTAATAAAGTGCCATCTCTTTTCATTGATAATGTCAAAATAAACAGAGTAAATGTTACACAATTTTTAGGTGTTTATAATGATGATAACCTTACTTGGAAAATTCACATTGAAAATTTATGCAACAAAACTTCAAAAGTATAGGAATTTTACATAAGGTAAGAAGCTTTTTGAATAAGTAAATTCTAACTCAACTATATTACTCTTAGCGATATTAACTATGCAAATATTGCATGGGCTAGTAACAACAAAAGCAAACTTGAACCTCGCCATCTTCGTCGTCATCAAAAGCACATAGCACGTTCAATAAATTTTAGTGAACGTCTTACCCATGCAAAACCTCTATTAAGAAAAATGAATGTACTAAATATATATGAACTTTATGTTTATAATGTACTATGTTTTATGTTCTTATGTAAAATCAATGCTTCCCCGGTTTCTTTTCATAATTTGTATTTGTCAAAAGATAAAAATAGATACAATGATAATTTTATTAGGTAGCCATATTTTCAAACAAATTATAGTAAGTTTTGCATTGCTTTTCGCGGACCATTTTAATGGACCGAAATAGTTTTAAAAAATTTTTCTCAAGTTTTTATTGAACAATGTAACTACAACTCGTTTAAATAAAAACTTAAAAAATGAATTTTTACTTTTTTAATTATTTTTTAATTTTTAATTAATTTTAATTGATGATTTGGTAATATATTTTTAATATATATATATATATATATATATATATATATATATATATATATATATATATATATATATATATATATATATATATATACACCTATATATATATACACCTATATATATATATATATATATATATATATATATATATATATATATATATATATATATATATCCTTTTTACCTTCTATTAATCAAAAAACTTTTAAAAATTTATATAAATACTAAGACTTTATCGCAATTTTTTTTCTTGAAAATTAGTATTACTGATAATACTAATTTTCATAAAGGGGTTTATTGTTGTGTAAGCATTAAATTCATAACGGTACAAAACACATTGACATATAGACCCATTACCCCGCCCAAAAATGTTTCTTATTTCAAAAAAACTATGCATCATTCCGTTTTAAAACTAATTGAACCATATTATCAGGTAAATTTTCTTTCATATAAAACATTTTCTATGTGTTACACCCCATTTTTAATACCTTTTTCTGAAGTTTAAGGTTTTCTATAAAAGTTTCTTTTTAAATGTATGCGCCATTTTGAATAAAAAGTTTACTTAAGAATTTGCCTAGTAAGCTGATAACCATAATTTAAAGAGCTGTTTCAACCACTAATAACATAAAGAGCTGTTTCAACCACTAATTAGATATAGAAAAAACACTTCTACTGAAAAACTGATAAATGTCGATTAGTCCCACATTACCTTTTAAGAGTCACAAATTGTATGACTACCCTTCCCTCTAAAGTGCGACAACCCTCCCCTCTAAAGTGCAACGTAGTTTGGGAACGATCCCTTTAAGATTTTATAAGTTCACTTGACTCAAATAATTAAAAGTTTATTAAAAATTCTTTTTATATAGTTTATTTTTATAGAATATAATAGAATTGAATAGTATTATTTTTAATTTCACACTTATTATATATTTAGTAGTCACTTTAAAGATGGGTAAACGCGATATTTTCAATATAAAAGACCTATTAAAAGCTGCTCTCATAAATTCATCTCAAAAGACAAGGGATGTGATTCTTGGTTTGCTTCAGAAACCTACAGCGTGGTTGCTTGCTAATGCACGAGAAATTGTTAAACTAATTGGAGAAAAGGTTGACGACGAGAGCTCATTTGAAGACGGTAAAAGTTATAAGTTTTAGTTCGTTTTAATTTGTTAAACTTTATACGTTATTTTGTTGTTACAATATTCAATTTTTATTAGTTACCTGTTTTATTCTTTATCCACATTAACAGTTTCATGCTTTACCATGCATATACAGTTTTATTCATTTAAAATTAACAGCAAATATTAAATGAATTTTGCTATAAAATTGCTGTTAACTTGGAATTTTTATGTTATATTATCTTGCATTTATTACTCAGGTTTGTTTTAATTTTCATATGCACAATTTTCATCTTTTATTATTATTCAGAGAATTTTTTTTATATCCTTCACTAAATGTTTACATTTATGCCGGTGACATTTTTAAGGCTTTTCTGCGACGATTTTTTTTTCGCAATCATATAATGTTTAGTTGTTATGATTTTGGGTTTCGCGGGTTGCTTATTTCCCTACACTTTTGATTGGTTATCATATTTCGAATGAGGCTCTATGAAAGCGTTAGAGTTTATTTAAGGCTATTGTTGTTTTGTTCAAAAAACAACAATAGCTTGTTTATGCTAATAATACCTATTTAGTTTTATATCTTAAAATAAATCTATTAGTATTTTTATGTTTTTGTTAGAATTTTAATTTATTGTGTTTTTATGTTTTCTTTCGGTGGTATGGTAAGTGATTTATATAGTTATTTTTACCTATATTGTACACAGGGCCGGTGCGAGTAGGTGTCACGTGGAGGGGTGCCATTATAACTTTTGCCGAATAAAAATAAAAAAAAAAAAGGTCCTCGTTATCCAAAATTTGCTGACTGCCATGACGACATTTGCCGACTGTCTAACCTATATCGAAAAGGTCGACATTTGCCGACTAAGGATCGGCAAATATCGACCCGTTAGTCGGAAAACTGTACCGACCCTTAGTCGGCAAACTGGACCCTATATCGAAAGGGTCCAGTTTGCCGACTAAAAATCATTAATGTTGGGTGTCACACCCCCACACACCGCTATCGCACCGGCCTTGATTGTACAGTAGATCTACACTTTTTACATCATATCATTAAAAAATATTAGTGTTATACAAACTTGGTATGGTTGGGTTAGGCTATTTGTAGTGAGTCCTTTTTTACTGTAGTATGGATAAGGCGTAAGTCGCGGGGTAAAGCATAAGTGGCGATGACGTTTGTCTGATGGAATAAACTAGTTATAAATGCTGATCCTCAACGAAACGCCAGTAATAATAGACGTGACTCTGAGAAAATGTTTATTACTTAATCACTACACAAATTATTTTTACACATTAGCATTAATGTTTTTTATTCTGAGGCCTTCTTCTATTGTTAGCATACTTTTTATTTTGTAATCAATTTTTTGTTTTATAAGTTTTTTGTCTGGTGATATATTTGTTGTATATCTTCGTTCATATTAGTGTTTATAAAACATTTTTTTTTTTAATTATTTTTGTTAAGTACTGTTTTGGATGCATTGTCTGTCTTATTTATTTTTAAATACTTGTAAATCTTTATTTTTGTCTTGATAACTGTCTAAATATGCTTTGTTCAAATATAGTTCTACTTTATTCTAATGTACTTCATTTCTTCCCTCAGACGTTGACTGCTCGTATGTGACCTTTCGGCGAATTTTATATGCCAAAGTTTTTAAATAATAAATTAAAATATTTATAAGTGACTTTAGTAATATCTAATGCAAACTTATGCAAAGTTTAATTTACTTGCGTCAAGTAGTTTTTTAATGGTTATGCCTAAAACCCGGCCCGACCCAAAAACCTAAAACCCGACCCGGCCCAACCTTAAAGCCGACTTTTTTTTATTTTTCTAAAAGTATCTGTTTTTGCAAAAGCTACATTTTTTTACTTTTTTATTGGTTAAAATTTTACAGATTTTCAAATAATATTCAAAAACCTGCAAATTTTTGGTTTTGTAGAATATTTTTTACTAACTACAATCTTTTACATATTATGTAAAAGGAGTATAAAAAAGTATAATAATAAAAGGAAGTATAAAAATTCTTTAGAGTGTCTTCATTATAGTATTCAATATAAAAATATTTTTTAGTAAACTTAATATATTAAATGTTTTCAATATAAATCTTTATCAAATTCTTATATTTATGTTTAAACTTGATAAAAAAACGGCACGGTTTTATTTTACCTAATATTTAAAAAAGTAAATCATATATACAGCACAAAGTTCTCAAAAAATAACTTTAGTCAATCCAAAACCAACTATTCAGCCACTAAATACTCAATCACCAATTGAGGACTTAAATTGTGGAATACACTATTAAATGATGATCTTAAAGCACTTCGCTTAAAACAAAACTTAGAAAAACTCTTCTATTAAACGACAATGAATTAAATTTCTTCTAAGGCGTTAAATAAGAGTGCTATTATGATTTGATTTATATAATTATGAATATAATAATTAATTTTATATTTACGCATATAAAATAAAGAAAAAGAAAAAAAATTCTATTGCACGCTTTTACACGATTAAATTTTAGCATTTGGTTATTAACGAGGATGTAAAAAAGCTTATATTATATATTCTTGAAACCTTATGTAAAAAGTACCCCTAATTGTTTGACATTATATGTGCATTCACTTTTTATCTTTTTGTTTGTGATATCTAAATTTTTTTCTTTTTTTTGTGTTCTTTTTTTTTTCATTTATTTATTTATTTAACTTTTTTTTCCTCTTAATTATTCTCAATCTAACAAAAGAAATTTGAAAAAAAAAAAAAAAAAAGAAATGGGAGGATAAAATATAAAAAATATATATTTTTTAAATTTTTTATTTATTTATTTATTGTTTTTTTCTTTCTTTCTTTAAATTTGATTTTTAAGAAAATTTAATTAATATTTTAAAGATTTTGTATTATCTTACACGGTTTTTAAAAGCTATGCTATGTATGGTATATATTACGGGGCTTAGTGATAAGACAACTATAGTTTTCTTTTTGCTTTTTTTATTTATTTACTTAGTTATTGTAATTATTGTCAAACGGCGAAATATATATATATATATATATATATATATATATATATATATATATATATATATATATATATATATATATATATATATATATATATATATATATATATATATATATATATAATTATAAAATTAAACTGTTTTTATTTTGCATTATTCAGTAAACGATGAGATAGTTACTAAAACCAATATGTAGGTGCATGGGTTTTATATAAAACTTTCAAAATCATTTAAATTGTATCATCCAGGAAGTACAGAAGCCAACAAAAAAAAGAATTTTTTTTCGAGTACAACAGAGAAAAAATGGAACCTACGATTGAAGCCATACTTTGTGTATTCTCTGAGAAGAAGTCTATAATCTTAACAAAGCGACGCCGAAACAAGTATGTTGCCAAACAACGGCTAAGAAGAAAGCAACTACGAAATGGAGATTGCGATGTCAATGCGGCCTCTGATGCCTAGAGTGACAATGGCAACAGTGTAAAATAAGAGATTGTCTCAATTAATCACAAAGAATATAACGCAATAGATTACATCTAAAAAATTACTTCAACAGACGTTGAATCAAGAGTTGTTAGACTGTTACCCCAAGAAAAAAATGTTATTGGTAGTCGCACATTGTTATTGGTAGTCGCAAAATTAACAAAGTTTTTGCAATACTAAGCTTACATGAGTGGTTAAATGATGCTGTAATACATGATTTCTTCAATCTGCTAATGGACTTAAGCAAGGCTAAAAAACGCGACCGAATTTATATTTACCTTTGTTTTTAAATAAACGATAACTCAAGAAAAACTTTGATAGTTGGCTTTATAAAAAAAGTCTATCTATGCAAGTACCACTAGATCCATTTCCCACTTTATGTTAACTTTTAATGCACCTCATCAAATTAATGGAAATAGTTGTGGGGTTTTTACACTAATATTTGCAGAAGCTGTTACCAACATTGTGAACATTAGTATTGTAAATCAGACAGCTGTAGCATTATACCGTCAATACATTCATGCTAGACTTGTATAACGCATGCGCGCTAAGTTGATAAAGAAGATATATGTGACGAGTTAACACCCGTAGTGCTCGTTTGAATTGGTCACAATGCAACCAGTTAGTGTCATAATGCTTGCGCACCGTGTCAGTCTTCTCACAAGCCATTTTCGTGTTTTCAACGCACTTGAACAAATAAATGCTATTAGTTTGCTGTGTTATTAGTTTATATTGTTTAAAACTTTGTTTATTTTAGTAAAAACAAAAATTCACAAATTCAAATTCAGAGCCATAATTCGAGCAGAAACTTGTTGATGCTAAATAAAAGATGAATGACCACTGTACTGTTACAAACCAAATCTTTCCCGATGAAAATTTGATGCAACAAGCTGTTCATTGTCATGGTCTGAACAACTTGTGTGAAATTATCACAATATTAAGAAAGTTAAGTGATTCCTCAATTGTGATGTTAGGAACAGATGGAGGTTGATTTTTGAAAGTGAGCTTTACACTTACCTCAACTGAATAGATAAATGAGTCAAAGTTTTGCAGTTTCCCAAAGGCAACAAAATTATTATCTCTTCATGCATTAAAAATATCTACTGTTAAAGCTCCTTTAGACCTAATAAAAGTATGAGAAAAATGACTGATTAACTCTTTACTAATTTCTTGTGACATGAAACTTGTATACATTATGTGTAACATACAGTTCCACAACAGTAAGCATCCATAATTTCAGTGTTGTGTTTACATCTAAAAACTATTAAACTGTGGTCAATTGTGACCACAGTTTAGTAGTTTTTAAACTGATGAGTTTTTGATGAAAAACTGTGTTTAACTGAGTTTTTGATGAAAAACAGTTTTTAAAAGTTCTAGAGAGACATCAAAAAGTCAAAAATCCATGCTTGAAGCTATTCCATCCATAGAGCTGCCCTTGCTGCTTTGATAATCAAAATGCTTAGTGATCACTTGGTCAGAAAGTGTTTTGATCTTTAGTCAGGTGCCAAAGAATTGTTAGCGTCACTGCACATTCTAATTTAACCATACCATGCTATGAATAATCAGAACGAGAGAGAGCCGCTAAAGTATTAAGTCCAGTTCAAAAGAAAAAAACTTAAAAGATAGCTGTCTGAAAAGTATTTTGTTCTGCCTTCAAAAGGAGCATTTGAGATGAAGTTAAAACATTGAGAAAAAAAAATGAAAAAAGCAAAGTTAAAGAAAAAAATAAAAGACCCTGAAAAAACAAATAATAAAAATTTACAAGAAAAGAGAAAATAATGCTAAGAGTATAGACCAACATAAATGTTATTAAGCATAAAAAAAAATTTAAAAACCCAGTTTCAAAAAATTAATAAAAAATAGAAATAGGCAGTGTAATGCATACAAGTAATTTTGATAACGATCAGCCACAATTTAAAATTGATTAGACATTTTTTATTGCGTGTAGAACTGTTTCATATTACATGTTGTGCTGTTTGACAATGTAACAATTGACAATGATGACACATGAACAGGGTTAGCACGTATCCTTATAATGCCTACCTAGCTGTCCTAAGAACGCCACTTATACGGAAAGTTAGCGTACACATCAAGGTACCCTGTGATGCAAATTTTGATATCATTTAATTTTGTCCGCGGAAAATAATTTAATTTGAATGTTCAAATTAAGTCAAATTTTGACTTCATAGTGCGCCAATAAAAACACTTGTAGAATTTAAACCACTCAATATAATTTGATAAAAATTAGTTCAAATGTAGCCAATAGTCACACCAAACTCTGGACAAAATTTCAGCCTGATTAGATAACTGGTGTAGGATTTATTGCAGTTTTAGTTAAAGTTTTGTCAGCTTTTTTCTACTTATACCTCAAAGCGTTACCGAATACTTTGAAATTCGGTCACTATTTTTAAAATTACGGTTACCTGAGTGTTCTACTATGTAATACCAACAATTTTTGTTATAATTATTTTATCGGTACATCTACAGTTTTCATTTTATAGACCAAAATAGTGATTTTCTACTTAAAACGTGATTTAGTCTAATGCTACTTAAAGCGTGATTTAGTCTTATGCTAATAGTTTCGACACGGCCTTCAAAAAAACAAAAGGTCCTCGCAAAAAAAAAAGGAGGCAGGCCATGGCTCCCTTGACGGCCATGTATGCATAGCGTGAATATACCAACTTTTCTAAGGAATAAACTACTGCCAGAATGCAAAAAAAAATTTTAAAAAAATGATTAAGAAGGATTTCTGGGGATACTTATATAGAAAATAAAAATATTTATTTATCTGAAAACAGAACAACTGAAAAAACCAAATATTTTTTGTATTGACAAAGATAATTGACTTAAAAAATTCAGATAAGTTAACTCAGATATCTGACCAATACAAAGTTTGCAGGGCCAGTTGGAGGAAAATTACTCTAACTGAATAACTAATTAGGTTGAAGGGTTGTTTGAAATAAAACAACCCGTGTGACAAGTGTCATTAGTTTAATAAGTGTGAAAATTATCAATAATGTAATTTCCTTACAAGTAAATAGTTTAAACAATTGTTTCCTGGTAAGGAAAGAACTATTCAAGAATTATTTCCTTGTAATTTAATATTACCTCAATTAAATCAAGTAAATATATCCTTTATTTTAATAGCTTTTAATTAATAATATGTGTTACTATGTTAAATGGATTGTTATCAAATATAAATTTAGGTCAAATTTTGTAGAAGGCAGAGTTTGATTTTGTAAAGTCAAATTTAGTGAATTGCCACGATGCCAAATCAAGCAAAGAATAATGATGAAAATCAAAATTTTGTGTGCTTGCTCTGTCTGAAAAAATGTCTAAGACAGCTTACTACTTTTCAAACTGATCGAACATGCCAACTGTACAAGACCAACATTAATATCAGTGATACTCGGGTACCAAAAGGACTGCGAATTGTGTAGAATTACTTTGCGCAGGAAACAAGAGGGGAAAGAAGTTGCACTCACTCCTTTGTTTGATTTTAAGTCAATACAAGTGAGACCTGAAACAAGAGGCACGATGCCTAATAAGCCGAATTGGTTGTTCAAAGCTGCGAGAAAAAACCAAAGGTGCGTTGCAGCAAATGCCTCAGCTCTTTAGGAAAAGGTTTGTCTCACCAATGCTCTCAAATAATGTTAAGGAAAACATTCAATCTTTAGCAGCAAAAGATCATCCGAACAAATCGCATCTCGAGTTATTTCCAAAGAATTATCTCCGGAAGGAACTATTCTACTGGCTAAAGTATCCGGCGGGCCTCCACTTACAGTTAAATACTGTAAATATTTACTGGTAAATATTTATACTTAAAATTTTACCATATTTACCATTACACTAGAAAGATTTCAAGAAGTATATTTTTGACAAGTTTCTAATTTCTTTAAAAACGAATAATTTGAAAGTTTTACACAAACCTTCTAAACAAAGTTTATTGTAACAATAAAATATGTATGTTTTGGTTTTAGGTCAAAGTAGTGCGCAGACATCATCAACTGCTTCGAAATTGACCACTGTAGCCTTTGTAAATGTGCAATTAAATACGGGCCTGTCAAACAATGGATTAAAAAAACTTGTTAGAACTGTAAACAAAACATCAAGAAGCAAGATGGTAGAGGGAAATTTCTACATGAATTTTCTAAGAATAGGTCAACAATTGAGCGATTTCTTCACCTGCAGCAACTTAAAAATCACAGACGAAAAAACAGATTCTTGTACAGTTCATGTTGTTGCTCACTGCAATGATTTATCAAGTTTTGTGAAAAAATGTTATTCAGTCCCGCAAAATTTTTGGTGGCTATTTTGTTAAGCTTGGAATTGATGGTGGCAAAGGTTTTCTCAAGTTTTGCCTAAGCATTGTTGATACTGCGTTAAGGGATGAGACCAGATCACCGCACCTCTCACTCAAAGGGCTGGTAAAAACACTGGAATCAAGAGACAAATTATTGTTGGGGTTTCAAAAGATTTGTCAGAAACACACTCCATTATTGAACAAATCTGGTCACTGATTAACGCAAATAGAGTTAAACTAATTTTGGCTTGTGATATAATAGTTGCAAATATAATTTGTGGTCTTCAAACTCAATCAAGTACGCACCCTTGCACCTGGTGTGACGTCAAATCCAATTATCTTGCCAAATCTGGAAACTGGCGAGCACTGGGCTCAATTAATTCAAGCCTTGAGTCTTTTCAGCAATCTGGCAGGGTTGTTGCTAATGCAAAGCTGTTTGGCAATGTCATTCGAAAGTCAATCATCTGCGGGCCTGTCAATGTTTTGATTTTAGAAATCATTCCACCAATGGAATTGCATCTCCTCTTAGTTGTCAACCATCTTTTCAAGATCCTTAAAACTGCTTGGATAGAAGCTGTTAAGTGGCCAGCCGCCCTTCTCTACTTTTTTTTTGCGAGGACCTTTTGTTTTAGAAATATAGCCAATTATTTTAGAAATTATGGGTTTTATTTTAGAAATTGAGGGGTTGACACCCTCCACTTTGAAGGCCTGTCGACACTATTAGCATAAGACTATTTAAATCACGCTTTAAGTAGAAAATCACTATTTTGGTCTATTTAATGAAAACTGTACATGTACCGATAAAATAATTATAACAAAAATTGTTGGTATTACATAGTAGAACACTCAGGTAACCGTAATTTTAAAAATAGTGACCGAATTTCAAAATATTCGGTAACGCTTTGAGGTATAAGTAGAAAAAAACTGACAAAACTTCAACTAAAACTGCAATAAATCCTACACCAGTTATACAATCAGGCTGAAATTTTGTCCAGAGTTTAGTGTGACTATTGGCTACATTTGCACCATTTTTTATCAAATTATATTGAGTGGTTCAAATTTTACAAGTGTTTTTATAGGCGCACTGTGAAGTCAAAATTTGACTTAATTTGAGCATTCAAATTAAATTATTTTCCGCGGACAAAATTAACTGATTTCAAAATTTGCATCACAGGGTACCTTGATGTGTATGTTAACTTTCCGTATAAGTGGCGTCTTGGAACATCTAGATAGGCATTATAAGGATCCGTGCTAACCGTGTGAATTCAGTCAACAAAAGCGGTTAATAGAGTTGCACCAAGTAGTAACTATCTTAAATACTCAATTTTTTATTTTGTAATAATTTCATAAACTTGTTGTTACTGCAAGTTACCCTATATTAAATTGCTTAAAATAGAAAATAAGTTTTCCGATGTTTGATTTTTTACTTACTTTTTGTCTGTGTATGATTTCAGAATTTTCTGTTTATTATTTAGCATAATAAGAGTAAATATATATGATTTTATATTTATTTAAAGTGTATAAATATAATTTAATACTTTTTTTTATTAATTCTATTAATATGGTTTTAGGTACAGAATCTACTGAAACACTTATTGCTGATATAATTCATATGTACAACGAGTAAAATATTTTTGCTTATAAAACATGTTATTTTCAAAGAAGCTACTACAACCTTAAAAAAAGCTTCTGACATGCGGGTACACGATAAAATTTAATTGTATTAAAAATTTTATGTTTCACATACTACACAAATTTAGTTAATTTTATTTTAAAAAGTATTGCAAAACAAAAAAATTGTATTTTTTTAAAAAAATAACGTAAAAAAAAAAAATGCTGATATATACATGACTCTGAAGTATGTGTGTATGTATGTATGTATGTATGTATGTATGTATGTATGTATGTATGTATGTATGTATGTATGTATGTATGTATGTATGTATGTATGTATGTATGTATGTATGTATGTATGTATGTATGTATGTATGTATGTATGTATGTATGTATGTATGTATGTATGTATGTATGTATGTATGTATGTATGTATGTATGTATGTATGTATGTATGTATGTATGTATGCATGTATGCATGTATGTATGTATGTATGACTGAGTAAACTTTACCCCGTCAAAAAAAAGCGTCAAATGTTCTCAAAACTCTCAACACTTCTATCAGTGTATTGCCAGCAGCAAAAAATAATGACGCCTAGCTTTAAGTATATAAAACTAGGCTTTCAGATGCTTGGGCCTTAAGAGAAAAATTAATATTCATTTCATGTTTTTAAAATTTAAATTTCTTTCATCAATAAAAGTAAGATTGACTTAAAAATCTTTGTCTTTAAAATAATTAAATCCCGTATTTATTTTACATTGAGGTTAAACCGGAACTGACGCAAAATGTTAATTAGGATTTTTATGATTAGCCTTATATGATATAGAAACTACTTTTTCTTAAAACAAATAAAAAAATTTTTTTGGCATATGAAATTTAGTTTCAATTGATATACGAGGCATACACGCAAACAACTACATCTGTACAAGGTAGGAAAAAGTAGTTCAAAATCAATTATTGCAAACAGTTTGTTAGAACGTTCGTTGTTATGCACACTCTTTCATTTTTAACATATAATGCAGGCCCGTATTAGAGTGGGGGTTGATAACACTTCAGCCCCAGGCCTTTAAAAATAAATAGGCTCTCAAACCCGTGTCCCGTAGATACATAGTATTCTATTTAAGTTTTATACTTAAGGGGTATAATCCCCCATTTTTAAATATAGACAATAAATAACAACTTTTGACATAAAATGATTAACAATATAATAAATTTAGAAAACTAAACAAAATAATAAAAAATTGGTCAATGGTTGCTGCAGTAACCGTAAAAAACCCCCCAAAATAAGCAGAAAATAAGATTTGCGCTGGCCAAGTTTTAGCAAAAACTAATAAAAAAGGCCGAATGAAACTTTGGAAACACAATTAGAATAGGTTTATGAGTGTTTTAAACAAAATAGATTTTTTTTAAAAAAGTTCTGGGCCTGATGACTTGTGCTCTAAAATTGACCATAGAAAAATGTGCACTTTTTGAAAAATTAAATTTGCCATACTGTTTTATTCATAAGTATTTCAAAATTCTGTTCCGTTTAATACACAGCTTTTATAAAAAGGTAAATTTATTGTTTATTTCAAATAAAACGCTCAAGTGGTTCTCTTGTAATTTTGGCTGGCATATTGAAAAACCTCAAACTGAGAAAACGCATAAAAACTGAAAACAAACGATAAAAGATCTACAAATATACGTAACATTATATATTATACTATATTTAATATTAAAAACCTCCTGCTTCATATGTTTTACTTTTTTTTTCAGAGGTTTTGTCACTTTTCTTCAGATTTTTAGCCCTTAACTTTTGACGATGCAACTTGTTATGGGGGTTTAGTTTATAAGTCGACCATTTAATGTGAGTTTTATTTATGTTGTTAGAACCGTTTAGTGTATAAAAACATGTAACCACGTTCAGTTTTTCATATATTAGGATTGAAGACTTCATCCCAAAGTTAAAATCCCAAAAAAAACACCAAACTTTAGCAAAGTCAGCGAGACATGTTTTGTTTTCGGTATGCAATCTCAAATTTTCCCATGGAAAGACTCATTTGCATTTTGCGTTTTACCGTGCAGACATTTTTTAAGCTCATCTTCTTTTGTGAGCTCTTCAAACACAGGTCTGATCTTGTATACAACCTCTAAAGGTAGACCAGGTCCTGGCTTGTAGGTGTTAGTGCTATTTGCTTTGTCTCTGTTAAATTTACACCAGCTACTTACACCTGTTTGACAATGTGGATAGTGCCAATTATTTGCTTTCGATAATGCAACGTGAAAAAGGGTAGCAAACGCTGCTGATTTCATAGCAACTAAATTACCAGTATTCTATCTAATTGCCACACGAAAGAAATTTTGCAGTCGATCAATTGTGGCATCTGTCAATCTACCACGACCTCCCAGTCCCCTAACTTTTTTTTCAATTTCCGGAGTCTGGTTCCAACACGCTTCTGATAGTATCCAACACATTCTAACTTATTTACTTTAATATTAGGATAAACATCCTTGACACTTTTGTAACTTTTGCTATCTCCATCACCTAAAAAGTTAATGTACTGCAACTTATGTTTTTTAATCGATCGCTGGAAAATACGACTGGCTCCTTCACATTCCATTCAAACTGCGGAACCAACAAAATTCATTTTACAAATGTGTGAATTTCTCCACTCGACATAGGCAGTAGGATCTTTTTTAGAAAGTTTTTGATTTAAGGAGCACCCTCTGTATACTCAATTCATCACCTCAACATCTAAAACTTTCCCACTGTCCATTGAAAGTGCTGCAAGTACACCATTCAATGATAAAAATCCCCTACGCTGCCATGTGCCATCACATGATACACCAACATGAAGAATATCATTGTTGTCTTAACACTGTCGTCTTAAATCAGATACAGCATCAGTCATTGTTTCCTGTGCAACTTCCTCTGTAATATTAGTAATTTTTAAAACAAGTTTTTCATAGTTTTTTGGCGTCATTTTGGCATGTTCATGTAGGTTGTAAACCTTTCAATTCCGGAATGTCCTAATCCAAGAGTCCTCATTGTATATACTGTTCGATTGTTTATATCAAAGTTTCCTTTTTTATTAATTAACTTAGAAATATAAAAGTCATTTTGATATTTACACTTTACACAAACAATAGAAAGTTCACATGCAAGTCCTTGCTTTTTGCTTTTATTTTCAATGATTGCTTAGTCGTTTGGAAACAAGTTGGACAGCTCAGAACGCAAATAACATCAGCCAAAATTGAACAATCAATAATTCTATATCCTGTCAAAACTATGATTTTAGTATTGGTATATTTTTGTGATGTTGAGCTTCAACTTTGCGAAAAGAAGAGCTTGACGTACCGAAGATGCCAGTTTGACTATTTACAGCCTGTAAATAGCCAAACTGGCATCTTCGATATCCCCTGTAATACAGGTGATTTGATATTTATACTTAAAGAAGGAAAATTTACATTATTTACACTCAGACTGCTTCGTAACACTTTTCTATTAAAAATCTTCTTTCTTTTGCCTGCTCGCTTAGTTCTTACTTTAATTCGATCAGCCTTAACCATGTTTGAAAACTAAAAAATATATAATTTCCGGCACGAAAATGCGACAAAAAATGAACTACAAACCAACAAAAACAAACTTGGTCTTCATATACCAAAAATAGTGTTAACAATTATTACAAGAAGTCAAAAATGCTTTTAACTTGTGAAATCAATACGTTGTTTTGGTTTACAATTGATTTTTTTAGGGGTACAAAATTTTTGCTTTTTTGTACCTAACTCTCAAAAACAAATGTTTTGGTATTTAGAGATATTTTTAGATGAAAACCCCATATTTTTAATTGTCTAAATATGTTTTTTTTTTTAATTATTTTTTTGAAATTTCTGGGGGAATATACCCTTTAAGTTTATGATCACTTTCGTTACCTCAGAAAATTTGATCGTTCATCAATCGTGCATTTTGAGTTGAATAAGATTTTGAGTAATATTTAATTGCAAACAGTTACAGAAGACTCGCAAATAAAAAAGGCATTGTTATTGAATTTAGAATGAAAAAATGTAAAAGAAATATACAAAACTATTAAAGGAAACAATAACGATCAATACAATGTCGTGTGTGAAAAACTTAACCAGTTTTTCAAACCAAAAAGAATATCACGCATGAGCGTTGCAATCTTTACAAGTACAAAACAAAATGAAGACAAAAGTATTGTAAGTTTTTTTACTCGATTACAAAAACAAATTGAGCATTGTGCTTTTCAAGATTTCGCTAAGGCAGTAAAGGATCAATTTCTATCATTCCATAAAAATAAAACAAAAACTTCTCAAATTAGAGAAATGAACCTCGAAAATGTGTTAAATTTGGTTGCAACGTTGAAACATCAAAACAACAATTTTCTTTTTTACAAACGAATGAAATGTCCGAAAAAAAAGACAAAAACAAGCTACAGATTTGAAGTCAGGAGCTAACCAAAATGAAGGTGACCGTGGGGTCACCTGGTAAAGCCTCGTTTTCGCTTGGCATTTTAAGTTGACCGCCACATTAGACCCTCCTATCTACAGCCCAAGACCTAAAATATCTCAATCTGGCACTGGAAAAATATGTCATGCAAACAGCATGAAGATGTTTGCATGACATATGAACGTTTCTTATTGCGTTTTAACTGAAAAATATTTGTAAATATGTTAAATAAATTTGGTATATTTCTATTTTTAAAACATATAAAATAGTTTATTAAATATAAACTTTTTTATGTTTGTGTGTTGAAGTGTACGTGAATTGTTCATCAATATATTGTTTAAATGTAATTGTCGTTTTTTGGAAGTTTTCAAAAATTTCTAAATTATTAGTCTTTCATAAATTTCAATTAGTTAAAAAGTGAAAACTCGGCATAAAAAAAAAAAGATTTTGCAAACTTGGCAAAAAAAAGTTCTGATTAACTGAATAATTTTTCACTTTTTGTATGCTAAGCATACAAAAAGTGAAATTTTATTTCTTTTTGATTAGTAGAGTAAGATAGGGTAATTTCGGCACTAATTCTTTTAATTTAAATAACTTGA